TTTTTTTTTTTTACATTGGTTTGGTTTATACATTTTAATCTTATTATAATGACTAACTCTGTATATTTACCTATAAGTACATAATCTACATTTTATAATATACATAAACATGTCATATACAAAGTTAAAATATAAATATTTCTGTTTTAGGAAAAAGTATATCCCATTCTCTCAGCATTAGAACTCTTCTGTTTGTGGCTTTGATTCCTTTTCATCCTGCCCACTGCAGGACCTTACTCCATCAAATATTCCTGTTTCTCAAGTTTATAATCTCTGTAGGTAATTCCTATATCCTAGTTTACACACATGTTGCAGTTAATGATAGCTCTTCCCTATTTTTATACAAAACAAAAAACTACTCACGTTCTTTTGATACAGATAATCCTTCACATGTTCATACCTCTTCCCTTTTGTTCCATACATCATCACTTGCTTAGTTCTGTGAATTTTACCTCATCTCAGTCATCTCTTTTTTTAATTTGAACTTAAACAATATATTTGGAATATTCTGGAAGGATTTTTATTGTTTTGTTATTTAAATTTATGTGTTTGTGTTTTACAGAGCATTGAATGAAATGTGGAAATGTCAAAATCTGCTCCGGCATCAAGTGAAGGATTTGCTTGACTTAATTAAGCAACCCAAAGTAAGTTAAATTTAATGAAAATTTTCCTTTGATGATAAGTTTTGTAAAACGCATGTATTTCAGTTACTCCTTACCATTGCTACAGTGGTGTTGAACAACTGTTACTGTGTGGAACTGTTCTACTCCAGAAACTATCATCTCTAATTTAGAACAATGAAATCTTTAAGAAACTTATTGCATAGAAAAATTTAAAGTTTACATTTACTATATCTATAAAAGGTGATACCCAACAGGAAAGAGAATGTATTTCTTTGCATTCAGAATTAAAGTTTTTTTGTGGCTTTAAAAAAACCAGAAAATGGCTCCATATCTTTGAAAGCACAGAAAATAGAGTAAAATTGCACTCTATCTTGCCACACTTAAAATGCTCCCATTGTGTAGTCTTGTGGTTTTAGAAAATTTTAATGTCATGTAATTTTAATTACATATCTTTATATTTTCACTTATAATTAATATTACAGTAGTCTTAATGTACTACTTGATTTTCATAATTATAAGTTAATGGTGGTATTCATCCAGTTGATGAATTATATTTTATTTTTTAGACTTTTAGAATGATTCTGGGTGTTCTTTTTCCCTAGAATGTTGTTTGAGAATGTTGTATATAGACCTATAAAAGTTATAATTCATCAAAAAAGCAGTATGTGTGGCCATTTTAAATTGCATCCAAGGAAATATATAACATATAAAAATAACAATATACTGTTATTTTTAATTTCTTTTCAGTCCTTAGTGGAACCTCCCAGCCCCCTAACCCCCTCCCCCCCCAAAAAAACATATACTGCATGCTCATAGAACAGAGGTCAATAGAGAGGAGTTGTTTCATGTAAGGGGAGGCGAATAGTAACCTCTTTGTTTATGGTTTATTGAAACCTGTAATTATTGAACCTGCTAGAATAAGTTTTTTCTTATAATAGATGACTTAAAACTAATTGTAGTGATTCTGCTGTTTCAGTACTTTGCCAAGGAACAAAATTGGAAAACTCCCAATTAGTGTGCTTCAGCCAATAACCATGTATTTTCAGTCAGTGTTCCAATGCAATAAGTTAGTGTATTTCAGTTAAGCTCTGGATAAAGTGCTCCTGTTTGCTACCTAGAGCTGTATTAATTTACTTCCTTTTGGTCAAAGTTGCAAAGGTGTTAATTAAAAATACCAGATGTTGGGCGCCTGGGTGGCTCAGTTGGTTAAGCGACTGCCTTCGGCTCAGGTCATGATCCTGGAGTCCCGGGATCGAGTCCCACATCGGGCTCCCTGCTCAGCAGGGAGTCTGCTTCTCCCTCTGACCCTCTTTCCTCTCGTGCTCTCTATCTCTCATTCTCTCTCTCTCAAATAAATAAATAAATAAAATCTTTAAAAAACAAATACCAGATGTTTTTCTATGCATGTATATAAAACTATTCCTGATTTTAGGCATTATTGAAGTCATATAATAGCAGTAGAGTAGTATGTTAAGTGTGCAGATCATATGTTGAACAGCATGATGTGTGAGACTAATAAAAAATAACTTTGTTTTTGACTCTCACTGTCCCTTTAAAATTTATTTAGTGGGAACTTCTTCCCCTTGCCTGTTGATAGCAACTTGGGAGGGTCTCATGACTTCATTCTCATGTGAAATAACAAAGTACATCTCAATTCAATTAAAATGTTTTAATGTTTTCTACTTTTGGAATTTTCCTTTAAATTGTCTTAAAAAAATTACTGAGTTGTCCAAGCTAAGGAGGGAATTCAAAATAATTACTGAGTTGTCCAGGTTAAAGAGGGAGTTCACATTAATGTGATGTGAGGTTGAAGCAGAAACCAAATGGAAGAAGATGGTAGCCCAAAGTGGAATTCTAATGAGAGGAGAATTAATAGTCTCTTATTACTTAGTATTCATTTTATACCAAGAAATATAGTAGACATTATAGAGTTAAAGGTAGAAAAAATGCAAAGCTGTGTTTATCCTTTGGGTGTTTATATTTCTTCTTATTTTACTAGGAAGACTCTTACATGCTTATTAATCCGTGAATGTTTCTTTGCCTTCTTCATTATTCAGTCTGATAAATATTCTTATTTAGTTCAGCACTGTAGCCCTTCTACTTTAATTAAATTCATTTGCTCAGTGTCACTCAAAGTGACATTATTTCTAGAATTGTACTTTTGTTGATGCTGTTTCTTTTTCATGTGGATCAACTTCTTGACAGCCCAGCAATACCTATTTCTCCCCAAATTAAACAACAGAAATCTTACATGATTCTAGACAGATATATTCAAATACTTTAAATTCCAAATATTTGGGAATTAACTCTTGTATTTTATGTTTTGTCTCTCGCTTCCTCTTAGGAAGCTCCTTGTGAATAGGGATGGTTTATTTGTGTATTTATTTGATTTGTTGCCTTCACGCCAATGTTTTTCTAGTTCAGTGTATTATACAGAGTTGCTCAAAGGCATCTTTTTTTAAAGAAATAACACTAACTTGATGCAGTGAATAACTAGCACTCTTAGAAACCATCGTTTGTACGTGTGACTTTACATGGGGTACAGTGTGGTGAACACATTCATTCACTGAGATAATACTATGTTGATACAGCAAGTAAGTAGCACTCTTGGAAAAAATCTTTTGTACATGTAAGTGGTATCTTTTTAAAATTGTCTATATCCAGTGTCTTCCCCTTAAGCTTCATGACTATGCCTTATAATCCTCAGGCTTAAAAATTTTAGGAACACCTCAAGTCATTCAGAATTATATACTTGTGAACTTTTTGTTTGAGATAAGCTTAAAACTTGAAAACCAGGTTATTTGGTTCCTTTTTTACACTTAGTTGCCTTGTTTCATTGCTAGAAAAAACAAAATATCTCCCTGTTTCAAAAGGTTGGTGTAGTAGTCTCCTTTTGTTTAGAGGATGACAAAACAGGCTGAGGGGGAAGAGATGACGACAGCAGAGCATTCACCTTTCATTCACTTCGGAGTTTAAATGTAGCTCAAGAGGGAGCTCACAGTTGTGGTGGTCAGGGCGTGGGCCTGGTTCTGCTTATCTAATTTTCTGAAGGGTATAATGAAGATTATTTTTAGGAAATGTTAATTTTGCTTTTTTTGTGTGTGATTTACAGACAGACGCCAGTGTCAAGGCCATATTTTCAAAAGTGATGGTTATTACAAGTAAGTTATTTCAAATATTACATGTAGAATTTAAGGTTTAATTGAAATATTTCTTTTTGATAATTTAAAGTGTTTTATGGAGTTTTCATTTTAGGCTATGATAATATAGGAAAAGAGTATAAAGTGTTTCTGATTTTTTTTTCAACAGACAGCTTCAGCTTTTCTTCTTTCTTTAAATTTTCATTTACTTTGCTACACAGAATTTTTCTTTTTCCTTTTCTTTTTGTGTTGGTATGAGCAGGAACTGGAGAAAGGATTTATTACATAAATTTATTTTTGGGAATTCATTCAAACTGTTACATAAGCTTACTGTGAAAACTGAATCTGTGCTTTGGTGTTGGTTGCTCTAATGTGACTCTATTTGAAGCTAATTTCGTTCTAAGCCAAAATTTAGAGTAAAGTGTATACATAATAAGTACAAAAGAGCTTCTTTGAAAAAAAATACTAATTTGCTTTTTTGCTTTCCAGTGATTTCAAACAAAATGTTACTTAATTGCATTTAACAGTAAATACAAAAGAATTGTGTAGCACATCTCTTTTGTTCAGTGCCGGGAATGGGTAAAGTAGCTGTTTTTGTAGGGCATTTGCTTTTCCTCCTGCTTTAGAGATCACTGTGTATAGTGTAGCACGTGGACAAAGGGAATATCGGGAACACCTGGAGGAACATTTCTACTGAGCTTCCACTTGGGAATAGTGAAGAGATCTATCTTAGGTGGATTTCTGAGATGTTAACAAATATTCCAAGATGTGTATGGAAGTAATGCTCAAATACTGAAGACAACAGTAACCGAATTAACTTGAGTTTTAGACTGACAGGAATTTTAGCATGAGTAAGGCTTTAAGACCAAAATATCTTTTAGTCTTGGGCAGTTAAACATAAATTAGTTTTCAATTTCTTTAGATAACTTAAAGCAAGTGATTTTCTGCTGTTACTTTTTAATAACTATCTCCTTGTTGTTTGGCTGTGGATACTCTCTCTTAAAGGAGGTCATCTATAATTTTCTATTTTTTACCCTTATCTGTTTTCCCAAATTCTGTTCTGAGGAATGCTAGTATCCTGTAGGTGCTAATAGTATTGTTAGAAAAAAGGGTTTCATGGTCAAGTATGTTTGTAGAATGCCGAATTAAAGGGTTTTTTTTATTTGTTTCCTCCCTCCCTTCTCCCTCTCTCTCTCTTCCTCCCACTCCCCCCACCCCAAGTCTATTTGTTTCTTGAATAGTAAACCGTATTGTAACCTTTAGTATGATGCCTATACATTATGGAGGGGCTGTAAAGTGACATCTTCCAAAATTATTTGAAGACAGTACAGTAGATTTTTTTGTATTATAGAAACATGAAAAGATCATACAGTCAAGTATTTATAATAGGGACACTTTGTTCTTATTATCCTCAGTGATCTAGCTGAGACTTAAAGTGGACTTTCAAAGTTGTATATGAACTTGAAGACTGCACTTACTGCATTTATATTTTAAGATTTAGTTGAGTTTCTACAATTTTATTATAATCCATAGTACTATATTATAATTTCTGTTATTGGAGGTATCCTAGTCTGGTCCTCTATAACAGTTGTGAGTAGCCCCCCTCCCCCCCAGAAGATACTGGGATCAACATTTTACTAGCTTTCATAAGTGTTTTGATACATCAGTATATTAGGAGAGTGGTATAGAAATCATCTTTGATTCTATGAGGTTTTATCCTTTCTCATGCAATAATGATGTACCCGACAGTAACACCTGAAACATTTTGCTCAGCATGTTTTATTGACTGATAGCATGTGTATATGAATTATCTCTGGATGGTTTAACAAATTAATACAATACAGGAAAATAGTTTCTTAAAGGTAAAACTTACTGATCTCTTGTTGGAAGTTACAAGAGAACGATGTACACAACAAGCTCAAGGAGACAGTAATAAATTGGTATCATTCAGGTTGACATTTAGTGCCCTTAAATATTATAAGGGGTTATTTAGAAATAGCCAGTTCAATCTTTTCCTGCAAAGATGTTCCTTCACAGTGATCTTGTTTCATATTTCTAGAAAGCAGAATTTTGTGAAAATTGACTATTGAAGTTGTTCCACAACTTCTAATTAAACTAAACTGAATTTGTAAATTAGGATTATTAAAGTAATAAAAAGAATGAAAAGTGTTGATCTTTTATTATTTTGAGAAATTTCTAAAATCGTATTTTTACTGAATTTTAATTTATTTAAGGAAATTTGCCAGATCCTGGTAAGGCTCAGGATTTCATGAAGAAGTTCACACAGGTGTTGGAAGATGATGAGAAAATAAGAAAACAGTTAGAAGTACTTGTTAGTCCAACATGCTCCTGCAAGCAGGCTGAAGGCTGTGTGGTAAGGAGAGACATTTAAAAAGAGTTGGGACGCCTGGGTGGCTCATTTGGTTAAGTGTCTGCCTTTGGCTCAGGTCATGATCCTGGGGTCCTGGGATTGAGTCCTGCAGGGACCCTGCTTCTCCCTCTGCCCCTCTTCCACTCATGCTCTCTCTCTCTCTCTCTCTTTCTGACAAATAAATAAAATCTTTAAAAAAAATAAAAAGAGCTAATGTTTGGGGCACCTGGGTGTTTCAGTTGGTTAAGTGTCAGACTCTTGATTTTGGCTCAGGTCATGATCTCAGGGTTGAGATCGAGCCCCACATTGGGCTCCATGCTGGGTGTGGAGCCTGCTTAAGATTCTCTCTCTCATAAAAAAACAAAACAAAACAAAAACAAAAAGAGCTAATGTTTGAAGAAGCCCCCAAACCTTTTTTGACTTCTTTAAGGAAATAATGTATGTTCATTATGTAGAATGTATATTCATTATATAAAACAACACATTTTAAAATATGCGTTATTTTACATAATATTCATTATGTAAAATTTTGACACCTTTAATAAAATAATTTGTATTTATGTGAATTTTGTATTCATTATGTGAAATTTATATTCATTATGTAAAATATCACAAAAATGACAATAAACTATAACCCCTTTATAGAGACAATTACTGTTAATATTATGGTGTATATTTTCCAAAATAAGATCATATACTACAGCATTGTACATTTTACTTATTTTTATTAGTCTTTAATAGCAGTGTAGCATACCATTGAATATATGTACCATAATTATTGAACAGTCCACTGTGTTACACATTTAGGTTTTTTCCCAATTTTTAAAGAACACTTTAGTATCTTTATAGCCAAATAATTTTTCATAGTCTTGATTATTTCTTTAGTATAAATTCAGTATTGGCTTCTATCATTATTGGAAAGAACCAGAACTCCAAGAAAAACATAATTATTTTGGTAGGATTTGTATTCTTGTTTGCTAATCATCTGACCATTTTTTCTTCTTGGGCATATTAGCCATTTATATATTTTTTTGTAAATTGTGTGTTTTTAGTCTTTGCCTATTTTTCTGGAATGACATTTGTTTTATCTTATTGATTTGTTAGTCATGTATGTTAATTAAGCTGCAAATAATTTTCTCTCATTGTAGTTTGCCCTTTGATTTTGTTTATGATGTCCTTTACATACCATAGTTTCATGTAGCCGAGTCTGTCAGCAGACTCTTCAAGGTTTTTGCATTTTATGTCCTGCTTACAAAACTCCATTCTATTGCAAGTCAATGAAAATATTTAGTAATGTCAATATTTCTCAATCTGTTGCCCATGCATCTTCCAAGAGGCTTTAAAAAAAAAAAAAAAAAGATGATTCTTGGCTCCACCCCAGATTGACTAATCTTCACAATGAGGTCCAGGAATCTGTTGTTTTAAAAAGCTTCCCTGATAATTTTACTCTCTGAAGTTTGTGTCTCCACTGAACCTGGTTTTATTCTTTTGTATTTGTTTTTATCTTTTTGGAACGTTTGTGGCATAAGGTATGAGATAGGGATCCGTTTTTATTCAAAATGTCTGTTCAGTTATTTCAACACAGTACATTGAATAATCCATCTTTTTTTCTTATTAGTTGAAATGTTACCTTATGCAAAATTTTCAATTTAGTTTGTTTTTCTGGACTCCTTCAATTCTGTTGATTTGTTTATTCCAACACCAGTGTTACATGGTTTTAATTATTTTAGATTCTTAATATTTTAATGTGATGTAATTTTTTAAACATATTTTTGTAATAGTTAAAAAAAATCTGCCTTACAGCGTGAAATAACTAAGAAGTTGGGCAACCCCAAACAGCCTACAAATCCTTTCCTGGAGATGATCAAGTTTCTCTTGGAGAGGATAGCACCTGTGCACATAGATACTGAATCTATCAGGTATTTTTATATAAAAATATTAAGTTTTCATTACTATTCATTCATGCTTCAGTCAGTTGCTTATGAGTACCTGCTATATGCAAGGCACTTAACCTATACAGATTTTTGTATATGTGAAATGGCTATATACTTATCTATTTATATCTGTACGTATATCTGTTCATATATATGTGTATGTGTGTATGTATATGTACACACTCATATATATCGTTGTATATTTAATTTTTCTTGTTATTTATTTTAATTTTAAGTATTACTTCATTTGGATGAGAAAATGTCAATTTAAGCCTAGTTTCTATCTGTTACCAGTATATCAGGAATTCCTCTTTTTTAGTTAGTTTGCATAGGGTAGGTAATACAAACAATTTAAATTATACTCTCAGGAAAAGAAAATTAGGTGAATATGTTGTAAAGCAGCATAGGATGCATTTTCACAGGTATTTGAGAACTGAAAGTGTTATTTTTAAAACAACCCTCATTTCAGCTTTGATATCACCTGACTGGAAAATACTTTCTTTTTATGGCTGTATTCCCTTATGTAAAATGTTCTTTTTTTTTTATTAAACATTTTCCTAAAATGTTTCGACTGGTTGAAAAAATAAAGTGCTTCCAGAATGTATATATATAACATTCTGGTTTACTGGTTATTAGTAGTATCTTTTAGAGATACATTAGAATCTAAATAATAATATCCTGTACCCAGTGGACCCTTTTTGGGGATTTGTTTTGTTTGGGAGGGTAGAGGGTGTAGCTTTTGGCCTGTGATCCCCTGCGGAGTAGGGAGACCCTGTTTTCAATACTTAGCAGTCACTTTGGACTCCTACTGCATCAGTTTTCATTTGAAGAAAGGACTCTAAGGTTTGAAAAACAATGTAAAACAGAAAATCAGAACCCTCTGTATTAGTACAAGGAAGACACTGAATCAGTCTGAAACTCAATCATTAAATAATCCCATGCTTTATTCAAGACAGTGCTAGTTAGGTATTGGCAAAGCATATTTTTTTTGCTTTTCATTAACCCTCTGGTAGTGCAATAAGGAGTTTTAATCAGGAGATTGTATTATAGTTTCATAAAATTAATGCAGATAGTGTTCAGAGGACTGAAAGAGGATTTCTCTAAAGTAGTATTTGACCGGGGCGCCTGAGTGGCTCAGTTGGTTAAGCGGCTGCCTTCGGCTCAGGTCATGATCCTGGAGTCCCGGGATCGAGTCCCGCATCAGACTCCCTGCTCAGCAGGGAGTCTGCTTCTCCCTCGGACCCTACCCCCTCTCATGCTCTCTCTCTCTATCTCATTCTCTCAAATAAATAAATAAAATCTTTAAAAAATAAATAAATAAATAAATAAATAAATAAAGTAGTATTTGACCTAAGAGGAAGAATGGGTAAGATTTTGTTTTTATAGAGTTGGGAGAATGAATATTCTAGACACTCAATTAATATAAACCAGCTAACTGGACAGGAAAGGACAATTAGAAAATGATTGCCATGAAAAGATATAAAAGTGTTATAAGATAATGCTAAAAAAATAGTTGGGATCAGATTGTGGAGAGCATTTAAGGTTTAACTTTAGAGCTTTTACTGTCTTAAGTCTTTTGAGAACAATGGATGCTTAATGATGGATGGGAGGAGGGAAGTAGAATGGATAGACTGTTAAGGTGTTACAAATTGTGGATGCTGGTAGTGGGATGGAAAGGGAAGATTATGTTTGAGGAAGGTTTTAATAGATGGGTCATCTTACTGGAAATGGGGAATAAAGTTGATGAGGAGTCAGAAGTATAAGAGCTCAAGTCCAAATGATGAAGCACGTAGTAATACTTTGAAAGGAATTAAGGGAACTGATGTGCTTCTTATTTGGACATGACAAACAATTAAAAAAATCAAGGCAAATTGAGCTTAATGTGAAACTATGAGAATGGATTTGTTCCCTGCACATGAGATTGTGTAGAAAGAAGTAAAAAGATTAAAAGATCATGGACAGAACCTTGGAATTTTGTTTTTCGACAGTAGAAAAATTACAGGAGTGTAAGAACACCAGGTTATTGTAGTGTTTTAAAAGTTAAGATGGAGAAAGTTTTTACAAATAATGTGTACTATGAACAGTCAAACTGAGGTCTTTGGCTTTATTATCAGTAGTTTGTAGTGATATAGAAGATAAGTCAAAATATAAATAACAGTAACAAGTAGTAGCAATTAGCCCTTCTAAAGTGTCTGGGATGAGTCCAAATATTTTACATGTTTACTTATTTACCTCTTAACCATGTGAGACAAGAATTAGTCCCAGTTTACAGATAAGGAACAGTGAGTTACACAGATGTTGAATAACTTCCCCACTGCTAGAAAGTGGTGAATGGCATTGAAACCCAGGAAGTCTGGCTCCAGAGCCCTCTTGGTTAACCACCACACTATCTAATAGGTCTCCAGAAATATTCCACACTTAGTCCCTTGCACCAGTAGTCACTGAGTGTCCAGTTCACCTAACTCTCCTGATAGTGGTTATTAACCTTTTCAGTCCTTGCCATTTCATAGGTAAATGGTGATAGTCTTTTTTTAAAAAAAAAAAACAATGTGTCACTAATAAAATTGAACATTTTTCTTCCCCATATATTTCTTGGTTAATTGCTTTTTGAAAAACTTTTCTATGAGGGGCTTGGAGGAATTGTCTTTTTCTTATTGATTGTAAGAATGCTTTATGAAATAGATGCCTGGGTGGCTCAGTTGGTTAAGCATCTGCCTTTGGCAAAGGTCACCATCCCAGAGTCTTGGGATCAAGTCCCACATTGTGCTCCTTGCTCAGTGGGGAGCCTGCTTCTCACTCTGCTTGCTGTTCCTCCTGCTTGTGTGTGCTTGCCTCCCCCCCGACAAATAAATAAATACATCTTAAAAAAAAAAAAAAAGAATGCATTCCATGCTCATGGATCGGAAGAATAAACATTGTTTTAAAATGTTTGTGCTGCCCAGAGCAATCTATACTTTCAACACCATCCCGATCAAAAGACTAACGGCATTTTTCAAAAGTGCTGGAACAAACAATCCTAAAATTTGTATGAAATCAGAAAAGACCCTGAATCGCCAAGGAAATATTGAAAAAGAAAAACAAAGCTGGGGGCATCACGTTCCCTATTTCAAGCTATATTACAAAGCAGTGATCACCAAGACAGCATGGTACTGGCACAAAAACAGACACATAGACCAATGGAACAGAATAGAGAGCCCAGATATGGACCCTCAACTCTATGGTCAAATAATCTTCGACAAAGCAGGAAAAAATAAGCAATGTTAAAAAGACAGTCTCTTCAATAGATGGTGCTGGGAAAATTGGACAGCTATATACAGAAGAATGAAACTCGACCATTCTCTTACACCATACACAAAGATAAAATCAAAATGGATGAAAGACCTCAATGTGAGACAAGAATCCATCAAAATCCTAGAGGAGAACATAGGCAGTAACCTCTTCAACATTGGCCACAGCAACGTCTTTCAAGACACGTCTCCGAAGGCAAGGAAACAAAAGAGAAAATGAACTTTTGGGACTTCATCAAGATAAAAAGCTTCTGCACGCAAAGGCAACAGTCAACAAAACAAAGAGGCAACCCACAGAATGGGAGAAGATATTTGCAAATGACACTACAAAGGGCTGATATCCAAGATCTATAAAGAACTTCTCAAACTCAACATCCAAAAAACAAATAATCCAGTCAAGAAATGGGCAGAAGACATGAACAGACACTGCTCCAAAGAAGACATACAAATGGCTAAAAGACACATGAAAAAATGTTCATCATCATTAGCCATCAGGGAAATTCAAATCAAAAGCACATTGAGATACCACCTCATACCAGTTAGAATGGCAAAAATTGACAAGGCAAGAAATGGCAAATGTTGGAGAGGTTGTGGAGAAAGGGAAACCCACTTACACTGTTGGTGGGAATGTAAGTTGGTACAGCCACTTTGGAAAACAGTGTGGAGGTTCCTAAAAAAATTAAAAATAGAGGTACCCTGTGACCCAGTAATTAACACTACTGGGTATTTACCCCAAAGATACAGATGTAGTGAAAAGAAGAGCCATATGCACCCCAATGTTCATAGCAGCAATGTCCACAATAGCCAAACTGTGGAAAGAGTGGAGATGCCCTTCAGTAGATGAATGGATAATATGGTCCATATATACAATGGAATATTACTCAGCCATCAGAAAAGATGAATACTCAACTTTTTCATCAACATGGATGGGACTGGAGGAGATTATGCTAAGTGAAATAAGTCAAGCAGAGAAAGTCAATTATCATATGGTTTGACTTATTTGTGGAACATAAGGACTAGCATGGAGGACATTAGAAGGAAGGGAAAAATGAAGGGGGAGAAATCGGTGGGGGAGACGAACCATGTGAGACTATGGACTCCGAAAAACAAACTGAGGGTTTTAGAGGGGAGGGGAGTGGGGGGATGGGTTAGCCTGGTGATGGGTATTAAGGAGGGCACGGGTTGCGTGGAGCCCTGGGTGTTATATGCAAACAATCATGGAACACTACATCAAAAACTAATGATGTACTACTGTATGGTGACTAACATAATAAAAAAAAAAGATTGAATACCTCAAAAAAAGAATGCTTTATAAAATAGGCTATTAATCTAGTTCAGTTGCCTTTTAAATTTGTGTAATTTATAATAAATACTATATAATTAAATCTGTCAGTTGTTTCCTTTATGATTTTTCTGCCTTTCTTTTCATACTAGGTAGTTATGTTTTTTTCTATGTAAATCTTTAGTTGGTCTGGAATTCATTTTAGTGTAAGGTGGAAGTAGATATTCATCCTTAAAAAAAAAAAAGCATATCATAGCTAGTTATATCAACTCCATTGATTGAAAAATTCTTCCTTCCTAATTTGTAGTGTTTCCTTATTATAAATTATTGTATGATTTGGACTCTTTACTGAATTTTCACTTTGGTTCATTTGTCTTTTGAGGTGTTAATGAAACATTTTTATCTTGTTGAGAAAGTTTTTTTTTCCTTCCCCCTCCTCCTAAAATTAACTGGCTGTTCCCAAACGTTAATTGATTTTTCCAGTTGAGCCATAGAATGCATCTATTGAATCTTGTCCCATACCAAGTTGTGTTCCCCTGATAACATTTGGAGATTTAGTGAAAAAATGTCATTACTTGTCTTGACTTATTCAAATCTCTGTGTTCCCGTTCATATAATTCTAGAGTTTACACATAGATTCTGTGCATGTAAAACTTATTCTATATGTTTTAACTTATTGTGAATAGATTTTTCCTCTCTCTGTATTTTTTAGGTGGTTTTGGCTGATACAGAAAAGCACATTAATTTTTTTGTGTTTTGTTGGTATCACCTCACTTGAACTCCTAGTATTTTTTTAATAGTTTTTACTGCTCTAACTGTAGTGTATGTTATTTATTTTTTATAAAAAGAACAAATACCTAAAAGTGTGAATGATTATTTTAGACAATTAGTATTGCATTATAAATGTTTATTTTAAAATAACCTATGCTTGTTTTCAGAAGAAAATTTCAGAGCAGTTTTTTTTTTTAATCTATTCTAATTTCTAGTGAAGTTTTATTATATGTCTGTTATCTAGGTATTTTTACACCTTTCAGGAACAGGCCTGTGTGTTTCTGGCTCTTAGAACAGTGCCTGACACATAGTAATATCTGGTAAATATTTTGAAAGTGCTTAATGTTGGCATTTATCCTTATTTCAGTATACATTGTTCTATTTACTCAATAATGAATTTCAGATAATTGGAAAACACTTATTCATGTGTTTGGGCATAATTCTTCTATGGAAAATGCAAGAATAAAAATATAGGTAGCATTAATAAACAGCAAATCAAATAACATTTGGACTTCCTTTGAATGGATAGGAAAAATACTATTTTTGAAAAGTATCTTAAAATACCTATTATAATTTTTTGTTTTGCAGTAATGTTTGGGAAACAGCTTTGTCAAATTTTTATGTGTTTGGATGTGGTCTGTATAGAAAATATTCACGATTATTTTTCATAGACATTAGTAATAACAGTTGAAAATATGACAACTTTTTTTTGTCATACTTTAGTGCTCTTATTAAGCAAGTGAATAAATCAATAGATGGAACAGCAGATGATGAAGATGAGGGTGTTCCAACTGATCAAGCCATCAGGGCGGGTCTTGAACTGCTTAAGGTAAATATGCTTATGGTGAAATTAAGTGCCTAATTAGATAACTGTTTAACATATATATAGTATATATTTTTTATTCTTGAGATTTGCTTAAGTTTTTATAGAAACTGAAGTAAAATTTTCTCAGTCATTTTAGGTAATTTAGAAATTGCACATTTCCTCTAACATGTAAGCTAAATATTTTCAGGTTTAAATTGTATAATATAGCCTACCTAGTATTGTTACATTAAAATAGCAGATTATAATTTGAGGTTTTCATTAGTGAGTAAAGAAAGTGCTAGCCCTACCAAACATGGAGCCAAATTCTTTGTAAAACTACATTTTATCTTTTATTTTGTTAGCTAAAATATACTACTGGCTTTTACTTACTATAAAAATATCAACTAGTTATTGACAAAATACAAAATTATAAAGAAGAAAACATTCATAAGCCTATCACACATAAACGTTCCTTTTGTTTTCCTTTTAAGTTTTAAAAAAATGCACACTTACATAGTTGAGATCAGACTGAATATATACAATTTTGTATCTTGACTATTTTCCCTTATTATAAAGCATTTTTATCAGTGTTTTTTAAGAAGTGTTTTTTTAAGAGGGTCAAAAATTGTTTTTGGCTGTCATTTATTAGATGGATGCTTTTGGGCAGGTTCACTGCCTCCAGTTCTTCATCTGTAATGGAGATAATAATAGCACTTATCTCACAGAGGACTAAATTAAGTCATGAACATAAGTTTTCGAGCACAGTGTCTGGCTCATAGTAAAAATACAAAAAACATTATTTTTTGAAATGGTGATTAGTCCACTTTTGCAGTGCCATAGAGTTCCCAACTATTTCCCTGGATATTTAGATTTTTCTAATTTTATTCTTATAATCACTACAAAGATAAATATATCTAAGATCTCTTGTTGATGTCTTTTTTTTTAGTGCTGGAATATAAAGAGAATGATGATTTTCAAAATTTTTGGATGTGTATAATTTAATAAAATTCCTTTACAGAAAAATTATACCCATTTATAATTCTGTCAACAGTGAATGACTGTGTCTCTCCTATCTTCACAAACATGGAATATTGTAAATCTTAAAGATTTGCTAATCTGATAAGTAGAAATAATGTTTTAATTTGTGTAATTATTGCAGTGAGGTACAATCATTAGTGTTTTCCCTATGGTGAATTCATTATTTTTATCCTGTGTTCATTTTCTCTCTTTCTCTTTTTTAATCTTGTGTTCATTTTCTACTGACATCTCATTTTTTGTTCTTTTTAACTGATTGAGATTTTTTATTCTCCTTGCTTTTTTATAGGACATATTTGATATATAAAAAATAAAATGTATTTTATTATATATGTTATAAAGTATAGTAATAAAGTGAATACAGTGAAAAGTAAATAGGATGCTAACTCAAATAGAGTATTAACAATACTGTTGAAGTTCCTTGAGTAGTTTTTTTTCTGTGATTCACATCCCCCAGGTATAATTGTTTTGAATTGTTCTGTTGTTTGGGGTTTATTATTCATTCTCTTACTGTCCTTTTAGTTTTATCATCTGTGTATCTCTAAGTAACATCACTTATTTTGCTTGTTTCTGAATCTTACAAATATGGCATTATGTTTAATGTATTTTTCTACTGCTTGCTTGTTTTAACATTCCAAGCTTAACAATCGTGTCTTGTTCAGAAGATTTTTATTGTTTTTGTTTTTCAATCTGAAATATAACCCATCTGGAATTTATTTTGAAAGTATATATTGTGGGGGAGGATCTAATTGGATTTTCTCCAAATAGCTGTGTATTTTTATCAGCACTATTTATTAAAAATCCCATCCATTTTCATTTTCTGTTCCTTCTTTATAATCTACTTTAATCTAAATTCTTAATGTATGCTTGGACTAAAAAGTTTTACTTTTTCTGTTTTGTTTCTTCTGATGTTAGTACAGTGTTGATTTGATAAATGTAACAGTTGTAAATGTTACAATAGCTTTTACGATCTGTTGTTTTACCCTCTTTCCTAGATAACTTTTTTCTAAAAATGTTATTAGTCTCTTCTAATGACGTTTATTTAGAATACTAGAGCTATTTTGTTAAATTCTCTCTTCTTGTTCCTTTTCTCCTCATCCTCCTCCAAAAAACCCAAACATTAACTAAAATCTAAATTATTTTGAGTAGCATTATATTGAGTAATTTAATTTTGAAAGAAATGACTTTGTTAGATCATGCAGTCTTCCTACACTAGAACATATCTGTTACATATTTAAGTTTTAAACTTTATTTATAGTGCTCTCATGTACTTGTTAGCATAATTATTTTTATATTTACTTTGATTTGAGTATTTCCAGTATGTAATATTTTGGATTTATATTATAAAGATGGAAAGGGTTTACAGATCATTTTTATGACTCATTTTTTTTAAGGTACTCTCATTTACACATCCCATCTCGTTTCATTCTGCTGAAACATTTGAATCTCTCCTGGCTTGTCTGAAAATGGATGATGAAAAAGTAGCAGAAGCTGCACTCCAAATTTTTAAAAACACAGGAAGCAAAATTGAAGAGGATTTCCCACATATCAGATCGTAAGTTTGTTCTGATAAATATACTAGAAAATGGAAAAATAATTTACTGTTTCTTGATTTATGTAATTGTTGGAATCTTTTAAGTTTTGAGGAAATCATGTCTAGGTTATCTTAAGTTTATACCGTTCAGTTTAGATTGTCATTTCCTGGGGGAGATAGCCCTGATTGGTATTTTAGAAGATTCATGAAAATGTGGAGCAAACATGGCATTTCTTTTTGAAGCATTGATTTTGCTTAAATATTTTAATGAAAACAATTTTATAGTAAAACGTTCTCTTGATATATCATGGCATAGAATAAACAATTCACATAAATTTAGGGTCTAATGGGAAATTTCAAAGGAATTTCAGCAGGACTGTGCATAGGACTCTTCACTATGTGATTAAAAGTATTGAATTGAAAATTTTCAGAAGCAGTGCTTTATTTGACTCAGGGAAGCATGGAATAAACCTCCTAACAGCAGTGTATTTTTGTGTGTGTTTCAGTATTTCCAGGAATTGGAAATTGTGCTGTTATCCTTGTTATCTCTAATGCTGGTTGATTATTCAAGATTCTATAATACCTGAAAACAATAAGTCTTCATTTTCTATGGATCCCTGCTTACTTCTCTATGTGCATCTCTCCACCCTGTTCCTGGAGGGTATATCTGATAGTTGGTCCTGATCTTGCCATAGTCATTGGTGGTTAGTTTTACATCTACCTCATTACTTCTGGCTTAGCCAGTAGTGCAGTTAGTTGTGGCTGGGGTAGCATGCTTCTTCATATGGAGGAAAAACCTCAGAAAGAGACTGGACAAAGGTAGCTCTTAAAATCTCAGGTACACTTTTTGTTACTCCTTTTTGTTCATATGAACTTAGTTCTGGAAACTATTACTAGGACAAAGGCATTATTTAAGTGATCATTGAAACATACCAGAATTTTGTAATCATGTTCTCTTTGGCAAGAGTAAGAAACTTTATTGTGTAGAACTGACTTTTTGGGGCCCCCGGGTGGCTCAATTGGTAAGTGTCTACTTTTGGCTCTAGTCATGATCCTTGGGTCCTGGAATCGAGTTCTGAGTCCGGCAGGGAGCCTGCTTCTCCCTCTCTCTCTGCCCTTCCCCCCTGCTCATGCTTGTACTCTCTCTCAAATAAATAAAATCTTTAAAAGGAAAAAGAAAGAACTGACTTCTTAATTTTTAAGGGAATTCAGAGCATGAATTTTCCTTTGAATGGTGCTGTGATTCTCCAGATCAGAGATGAGTTTGGAGATACGCACAAAAAATACATAACTCTATATTACTGAATGCCTACTTACTGTACTATCTCATTTAAACCTTTTAACAGTTTAGTAAAATGTAGAAATTATCCTAATCTTCCAAATGAGAAATCTGATATTCACTCGAGGTAAATGGTTTTGGGTCATATAGCTAGCAAGTAGCAGAGTGAAGATTTGAATTTAGGCCTATTTGTCTGAATGCCTATGGTGCCATGTCCATAATGGCACAATTCCTTTCTTAATTAGGGTTTTGGGCAAGTTTTAGTTTGATTTATTCACTGGAAGTTTTTATTTTTATTCTAGACTGTCTTTCCTAGCACCCTTTATATCTTAAAGAAACTTTGATATATTTGTAGAACTATAAGAGCAAGGTTGAAAGGTGGACACTTTAGAACATGTAAAGGGCATTTTAAAATATCTGCTTTAATATGGAACTGAAGTATTTAAAACTATTTGATTTATATGCTGAGTATATTTCAAATGTTTCTCATGAGGAAAATTAACTGATACTGAATACCTGCTGTGTGTGCATGCACTGTTCTTGATGAAGTAGCTCTTAGTATATGTCTTCCAGGAGATAAAAATGTATGCAGATTTTATGTTTTAAATGATTAAATTGAGTGAGTTGATATTGAGGAAAAATGATAGAGTTGAGTGTTTATTAAATTATCTTCCCTTGAATTCACCAAAATAATTCCAAAGAACCAAAAGAAAAATGTATCTAAGTAGAAGCTACCACAAACTGGACAGAATTGTTGCTAAATAAGTCATCTAGAAGAAATTGAATGTGAGAACATTGACAGTTGTTAACACATATTCCTGAATCAGGAGAATAAGGGAATGGAAAGTAAGTGTTCTGTTGTTTGCTAATTTAGAGGAGGAGATTGAGGTATGGGCAGGTTTTGAGAGAAATAAGGAAAGACTAATTTCTGCTGTCGTAGAACTAAAGGAGAGACTTGTGGTCACACCATTTTTCTTTGGGCTGACCTGTTTTCCTTAGCAGGAGGAGCAAAGCTTAGAGGTGAGGCTTAGAATTGTAATGCAAATGTCTTATTACCAACTTTACAGGCACAGAAAAAATTGTGTGCTTCCCCACTAAACAAAAATGATGATGTACTATGGTTTCTGTTCTGACTCCTCCTGTCTCTTAGGAGTCTGGCTTACCCCCTGAGTAGGCAGATGTGCCAAAACTAAGAGTCCTCTTATAGCATAGGATATAGCCATAGTTCAGGTGGAGCTAGTTCTCATCATTGGCAGGGTTTCAGTAGACTCGGAGAGAAATTACACAGAGATAAAGGACTTGCTACGTTTAGTCCCAGGTCCTTCCTCCATGCTACTTGGCCAACTGATTAATGAGTTGGGAGCTTTGATGTTAATTTTTTAAGAGAGGCACCCGATGTTCAGTCATTAGATACTAATTTTTTAAGGGAGGCACCTGATAATTCAGTCACATCAGGGAGACGCTATCTGCCTTAAATGGCAGAGCCAGAGAATTTCTCTTATTCAAAGATGCATTAACAGAGTACAAATAAATTAACGTGAAACCTAAGCAGATATTTTAATATTCCAAAGAAAACTGATAATCACTATTTGGAAGAATTGAATTTTTCTAGGAAAAAAATTTTAAACCATTCTAAACTGCCAAGAAAGTTAAGCAGCAAATGATATCTGGAAAAATAAGAGAACAAGAAATATATATAAAAAAAGGGAAGTGGCAGGACTAAGGATAAAGAAGACAGGAACATACTTGTATTATAAAGTATAATTTATGATAAGCAGCAAGGAGCAGAGTAAACAATATAGAAAATATAATTAGTAAGCTAGAGATAGAGCATGAGGAAACTGTATAGAACGTGGAAACAGTAGGCATAGAAATGAAGGTAGTTAAAATCATTTGCAGATAATGAAAAGCCCTAATTGGTTTCTGTGAAGGAAACAACAGAATAATGGAAAATGGAAAATAGTTAAAAAAAAAAAGATAAATGTTTAGAATGAAGGAAAATGTCAATCCAGAGATCAAGAGGACTCCACTACATTCTGGTGGAATTTACTGAATTTTCAGGGATTACAGAAGTGATTTCACAAACATCAATAGCAAAGAAAAGGAAGTGTATTGTGTACAATGGAAAAATAAAGAGGTTCACTTCTTTCAACCACATAAGATTTCTGAAGTTAATGATTGAACAGCTAGAGAGTTTTCAGGGACAAAAAAGAATATAACTGAAGAATTTCCTGAGTAGCCAAGTTGTGCTTAAGGACAAGTGAAGGATATTCTTTAGGACATAAAGACTCAGGAAATGTATTAATTACCCGCTTTATATTGTGAACTTTGTCTACCAAGGTATATACTTTTTTCCTTTGCATTCAGTTTTGCTTAAGCCCCTAAATCCAACTTTCGTTTTCTTTTTGTTTGCATATCTGATTTGTCTTTTCTTATCGTTTTACTTTCAGTATTTAAATTTTAGATGTGTCTGTATGTACTTTTTAAATCTTTGAAAACTTGGATTTTACTTTTAAGGATGATGTAAACAAATAAAATTGGCTCAAGAAGAATGGGAGAAAACCTAATTAGGCTGTAATTATAAAAAAAAAATTTGAGAAAAGTATCCTCTAATAAAAAGTGCCAGTAAAAGTGTGTGTTATAGGAAGTATATCACATCTACAAGAAACCAAGGATTCTAATTCTTTTTAATTGTTTAAAGCATAGGGGAAAAAAAAAAGCATTCAGATTACTTTTTACATAAAGCCAAGGTAACTAGCAGGAGTGCTAAAACTGGATAACAGATATTCCCTCAAAAGAAAACTTAAGGGCGCCTGGGTGGCTCAGATGGTTAAGCGTCTGCCTTCGGCTCAGGTCATGATCCCAGGGTCCTGGGATCGAGTCCTGCATCGGGCTCCCTGCTAGGTGGGGAGCCTGCTTCTCCCTCTGCCTCTGCCTCTCTCTCTCTGACTCTCATGAATAAAAATAAAACCTTAAAAAAAAAAAAAACAAGACAGATCTTACTAATATTACTGCAAAAATTGTAAGTACATTTTTAGTAAAAAGAGAGTTTACTGCATTAAAACAAAATATACTAATGGCTGGGGCTCCTGGTTAGCTCAATCAGTTAAGCATCTGACTTTGGCTCGGGTCATGATCTCAGGGTCCTGGGATTGAGCCCTGTGTCTAGCCCCGTGTAGGGCTCCGGGCTCCTGGCTTTGGGTTCTGGGCTCAGTGGGAGACTGCCTCTCCTTCTGTCTCCCCTCCCCCCCCCCGCCCCCACTGTGCTCTCTCTCACAAATAAAATCTTAAAAAAAAAAAATTAAAAAATATATATTATGGTCAAATGTGGTTAATTTCAGGAATACACAGAAGGTTGGTATTAGTAAGCCTAATATACATGTTACAATTTACTATAAAATTGAGTAAAAGGGAAAAGGGCACATGGTAGGTCATTCTGATAGATGCTGAAAGGGCTTCTGATAAAAAAAAATGAGTCTTATTTGTAATTAAACCCAATAAAATAGGATTGTCTTTATAACATAATAAATTTGTCTCAAACCAGTAAGAATCATCGTATAGTGAACACTAGAAGCATTCCCAGTAAAATTAGGAACAAAATGAGGAAAATACACTATCTCTGCCATGATTTAACATTGCTTTAGAAGCATTAGCCAATATAATTAAATAAGAAAATAAGAGGTACAAGTGTTGGAAAGGAGGAAGCAAAGTTACCGTATTTCATGGAAAATCCAAGAGAATC